TTTCAAATAAGTAAGTACATGTGATTCATGCTTATTAGTTACTTGGTCTGAAACAACATTTGGCTTTTTGATCTTTCTCAATTTCAGCATATCAGAGTTCTTTCTAGATTAGCATGGCGTAAACAATGGTTGTAAAGAAGGGTATACGTGCCAGAAGAATACTAGCTTCAGAAAGCTTCAGGTTGGTCCTTATACTACCTGCTCTGTTGGAAATGAAGACTAAATAGTGGTCTCATGCTGATTATCTGTAATTATAAGAGACTTTCTCCTGTTTCTTCTACAGCTTTAAACTTTCACACTGATCATGAATGGAACAGCAGTACCTATTTAAAGGATTATCCTAAAACCAACCCAAATGAAATAAGTACAACTTTCTTAAGGACAAAAATGAGAACTCATATACATAAGAATAAAAGAGAAGAAAAAAAATTTTCATTATGCCAAAATATTGCTAGTTTCCTTTGCTTTAGGTTTTCCTTTATTATGAAGCTCAGTAAACTTTGAAAGTTTCAACTTAAAGCTCTTTATAAAACTAGATAGAAACTAAAACAAAAGACCTATAGTATGCAGTGAATCTTATAATTTGAAAGGTTTAAAAACTTTCAAAAAGTCTCCACATTCAGATCAGCCAAAATAAACCGAGAGGCACACACTAAGACCATGTTAGTGCCTGGGTGTCACCATGTAGTGTGACAGGTTAAAGAGCACAACCAGAAAATCTTGTTTGCTATTTTCAAAACAATCATGACTGAAATGAAAACATTGCTTCAGATTTTCAAGTTTAATCAAGTTAAGAGAAGTCCATTTTATTTTAATCTACTTTAATTGTATAAGCCCTTTTAACTTTACAGAATTGTATCCCCAAGAGAGTATAATACAATGTTTAGTTATTGTTCATACTGCTATGAAACTTCAAAGTATAACTTTACTTTATAATTATAATGTGTTTAAGAGACATTTTTGTGAGTTATTTGTCAAACCACAAGAATTAATTATGCTACAACTTTATAGGAAATTGGTATTATAGTATTATGTCTTAAGAAACTGATTGATATCAAAGAAAGTGAATCTCAAAACTAGTTTCATGTCCAGGAGGTATCTCTACTAATTATTTCAACAGGCTTCTTTAAAATTTGAAAACAAAGGTGTTTTAAATGAAAACTCAAATTGTACCTAGTGAAAGGTTTTGGAAACCCTGGTTTTTCCTCTAAAATTTACTACTCAATTTACTTTAAGAACACATTAACTGCTATAACAAACTAGCATTTATTGAACATCTCTATGTCAGACACTGTATAGTGAATTTTATATCTATTTTATCATTTTAATTTTATAATATTTCTTGGGTAGCAATAGGCAGCTAATGAAAATTTTCACTGGCTATACAATTTATTAACACACATATGGCACTCAAACACAGAAATCCTACAAATTAAAAGTTGTGGATAACCATTATAAATGATGTTTCTGAAGCTGAAGAATATTCAATAACCTAAGAAAATGTTCAAGACGGAATTTTATGAAAAAAATTAGACTGCTAACTCACATCCAATAATATCCAAAATAAATAAGAAAATATACATTTCTGTTTAAATTTTGGTTATTTTGGATGATAGGATTACCAGTAATTTTCCTAATTTTATAAAGTAAACATTTTTATAATCAGAAACCTCTTTCCAATTCAGTGATACCCTAAAATATCTAATTATGGCTGTTGAAAATGTGTGATTTTAAATCAAATTTAGTATGAATGGAATCTATTGTATAGTAGTTGGGAGATAAGTTTCTTTAAAATTTTAATATATTTTGGTATAGGCTACTATACAATGAAAACTGTATTTTGTAAATATTTCATTTACTGTTCTGACTTGTTTTATAATTCACCTTAAGTTTCCATTGCTTTAATTTCTTTTTTTCCTTTTTCTTTTTTTAAGAGATGTAGTCTTGCTATGTTGTCCAGGCTGGACTGCAGTCACTATTCACAGGCATAATCATAGTGGGTTACAGCCTCAAACTCCCGGGCTCAAGTGATCCTCCTGCCTCAGCCTCCCCAGTAGATGGGATTACAAGGCACACACCACTGCGCACGGCTCCATTGCTTTAATTTCAAATGTAAAGGATTAAATCTAGATTCTCTCAAAGGCTATATTGCTTTTGTTCCTAAATAAAGAGAGCACAAAGCCATTGCCTTCTTTACAAATATTCACTGAGAAATCAAATGTGGACTTTGCAAACTTCAGAAATGTCTCAGACCCTAAACTGGGATTTTTTTGTGCCACTAGTCAATTTTGTGCATACAGTAGGCACTCAATAAAAGTTGTTGACTGAATGGGTAAAGGAATGCATAAATGTCCTCTTTGAATATGTAGACTTACTTTCCCTTCACTCAGTTTAGATGACCTGAGAAGCACTTCCTCAAAATAACCCTCTGGCTCACCATGAGAAGAATGCCTGGCACCAGCTGGCAGGAGATATTAATAGCATGCCCATTAGGCACTTGTTCAAGGCACACAGATAGCTCAGTGATAGAATCTTTCGAAATATTTGGACAGTTAAGATTATTTGGAATATGAATCAGTTTAGTTCCTTAAACCTTCACTTTAAATATTAAAAACTGTTTTCAAAAATTACTTAAAAAACAGTAAGGTGTCATAGTAACAATTGCTTTCGATTTCAGAGAAATCCAGCATGGGGGGGCGGCTAAAGAAAGCAAGCTTACAACAACAAAATTATTTTTTTCTTATAACAGAGATTCTTTTGAAGGACTCAGATGCTAAAATAGGGAAGAGAATGGACTCTGTCCATTAAACTTTAATTTTTAGTATTTTGCCTATCATTTACCACTGACAGAGAAGTCTCTAACCCAAGAAATTATGTTTCTATTCTTCCCTAGCAACATCAGATTCAAAAACAGAGATATGCTGAAAATTACAAAATATTCTAGGTCACTCATAGTGACTTTTTGAGGGACTTGGAATGGGACGGAACTACAACGAATTTTTCAAATAATATATACTTTGAAATACCTGTATTTTCACTAGACAAAATTAACCAGTCCAGCCATAAATTGATACTTTCCATTCATCTAGCCTTGATCTAAATTTGGCATATATGTAGTTTAACCAGTAAGAGACATAAGTTCTAAGCATCCTTTTCTTATTTCCTATGAAGTGGTCTATGTCCTGCATCACTTTAGATAGCCATAAAGACATTTCATTCTCTGAGTCATCACTTAAAAGTTACTACAAAAGTACCAGAGTTAAGATGGATTGCTTCTCTTACTTAGTGTGTAATGTCTCTAAATGTCTAAATCAATTCAAAGAAAAACAAAGAGCTTTGAATCCTCAAATACTCAGTTGAAAAAACAATTCTACTAGGTATCTTGCACTGAGCTAGGTAGAGACAGTGCAGAATAAACAAGAATAAGATGTAGGTGCTGACCTTGAAGAATTTTTCATGTAGCTGAGGAAATTACATAGGAAATGATAGCTAATGAGATAAGAGAAATGCTGTCCTGTGTGGTATGGAGAAAGAGATGTTCACAGGGAGAGAGAGATGCTGACCCTCACTTTGGGTAGAGAGGAAAATAACGGTGGAGAGAGAGGTAAGGCCATAATATGGAGGGGTTTGGAAGTCTGACAGAAACATTCAGATTTGATGTGGTAGCGAATGGGGCAGTAAGAAACAGGTACAAAACAGGATGAATTTGGGTGGGAGAGAAGAGTTAGGAAAAAAAGTCGGGCAGGTACTAGTAAATTGATTAATATATAGGTACAGTTTTCTGTTAGCATACAGTTGTCCCTTGGTATCCATGGGGGATTGGTTCCAGGACACTCCTACCCTGCCCCACCCCGCGCCCTGCGCTGATACCAAAATCCATGAGTGCTCAAGTCCCTTATATAAAACTGGTGGGGTATTTGCATATAACCTATGCACATCCTCCCATATACTTTAAATCATCTCTAGATTACTTACAATACCTAATACAATATAAATGCTATATAAATAGTTGCTATACTATATTGTTTAGGGAATAATGACAAGGAAAAAGTTTGTAAATGTTCAGGACAGATGTAACCATTAACTTCTTTTTTTTCTGTTTTTTTAATATTTTCATTCTGTGGCTGGTTGAATCCATAGATGCAGAACCCACAGATATGGAAGTCTGACTGTACTTTTTTTTTTTTTTTTTTGGGACAGGGTCTCTGTTGCCTGGGCTACAGTGCAGTGGCATCCTCAAAGCTTATTGCAACCTCAAACTCCTGGGCTCAAGTGATACCTCCTGCCTCAGCCTCCTGAGTAGCTGGTACTACAGGCATGTGCTACCACACTTGGCTAATTTTTCTATTTTTTTTTTTTTCAGTGACGGGGTCTTGCTATTGTTCAGGCTGGTCTAGAACCCCTGACCTCAAGTAATCCTCCCACCTCGGCCTCCCAAAGAGCTAGGATTACAGACATGAGCCACTGAGCCTGGCCCAACTGTACTTTTAAGCAGTATTTTACAAGGTCTAGCGGATCTTCCAAAAATTTTCTTGGTCTTCATAAAGAATTTTATAGTTTCTATCATAATACATATGCCATTTCATATTACTCTCTCTAATATGCATGTCAAAGAATGTAGGCAGATGAATAAAAACAAGAAAGAAAGAAAGAAAAAGAAGCGTAATTAATTTTAAACTGAAAACTGTTGATACAAAACATTTGTAACTCATCTGAAATTAATGTGAAAACAGAATAAAAATGGCATCCTTATCACTGAATCTAATTCTACGAAAACTTTAATGTATACTTCTATTCTACTGACCATTAAACTCATTTAAATATACATGAAATATATTATTATTATTTATAGTGTTTTATTTTGTAAGCAACTTAATATTTATGCATACTAAGAATAAAGTAACTTTACTTTGTCATTCAACTCAGCACATTATCAAAAAGCATAATGTAATTACATTTAGCTTGAGTAGATAAGTAAAATAAATATATATTGATTTTACCTTTGCTTTAGTCGTCTTTTGGCTGTTGTGGGAACATTAGCACCATACCCATAGGAAAAAAGAACCCTTTCAGCCTCATCTTCATTTTCAACTGGAAAATATTACAGTGTATAATGTGAAACATTTTTTTCCCTTAAAAAACATGGCAGAAGTGAAAATAAGAGGTTATAATAATATATGAGGGAGCATAAGAACATTAAGAACATTAAAAAAGGCTAATGTGTAATCTCAAACAGCCCATTTGTAAGTAGAAGCTCCCTCCCCCTCCCTCCCTCCCTCCCTCCCTCTCTTCCTCCCTCCCTCTCTTCCTCCCTCCCTCCCTCCTTCCCTCCCTCCCTCTCTCTCTTTTATTAACTACCACCTTCTCTTGGCTTTTATTTATTCACTAGCACACATGGAGCTTGACACATCTGATTTTTTAAAAAATGTGGGAAGGACACCTGCAATTAAATGACATCTATGTGTATTCTGAGTAGCACTAAGCTAGCTAAATGAATCGAGAGTGTTCATTAGTATCCCCCTAGCACACTGGTATGAATGTTTTTAACCCAGGCATTGAAAGCAAGACACACTCCTGGTCTGAGCATGTGCCATGGGCCTCCTTCCTGATTTTTTTTTAAATTTTATTTTATTTTAAAATATTAAGGGGGTAGAAGCATATTTCTCAAAGTATTTCCTTGCTTGGATTTTGTTCCATCTATTCTTGAAAGGTGTAAGGGACTGTATCATATGACATGCTAAGTTTTCTGTTAAAAAGCACAATAATACATATATTGTGCTACTCTCAAGGACTCAAAGGCTTTTTGATAAAATATATGTTATGTAAGATGACAAATAATGATAATATCAATTTCATTAATTCTCTTCTTGATAAAAGAAATAACTATTTTAAATTATGACATTTATTATGTTCTCAGTATAACTTTATTATAACTTACAATAATAAAATTATGTACTTATATAGGCTACTCTGTAAAGAAAATGCATAGCCCTATGCATGAGATGAAAGATTTTTTAAAATTGTATATAAATTCAGAGAAAATACTTTACTAAATACTTCTAAATTCAGCTATTGTCTCACTGCTCCCCAAAAGCAATTTTAAGTAACAGGTTAATATCTTATGGATAAAAAGTTTAAATGCAATGACAGTTTACTGCAAGCTGGAGTTAAAAGATATTTCATCAAAGGCCATAAAAACTAAAGTTTTACTAGCTCAAAATAGTCAGTGACATAGAAAAACTTTTATAATATTGTTTATCAGCAGCCATTATTTTAGTGTTAAAAAGACAAACTTACTTTCAGGGCTATCTCAGATTTTTAAAAAAAGCCATATATTTTACACCCATAAATGAAGCTTGACTATTTGCATGCCTATCAACATAATATGCACATATTTACTGATTAGTCCTTCTGCAGTAAAGATTTTAGAAATACTCGTAATTGTTTTCCTTTAATTTTGTCCCTATTTTTCACAGTGAAGCAGTATCAGCTTTCAAAGGTAGGATGATTAGTTGTGAGGGACACGTGGAAGAGATGATACATGCCATCGCCAATACTGTTATTAGCTATCAGATAACTCTGAATCCAAGAGGAGTTCTCCAATTCAGCTCTACCAGAACTACAGCTAACATTTAAATATGTATCTGACTCTTGTCTCTCTTAAATAGTTCTAAATTCAGAGAAGGGGGTGAGTAAATTTAGTTAACATCTCAAAAACCCATCAGATATTGATGGACATGCTAAACCTGAGTTTGATACTTAATGGATTAATAACTCATAAAGTAACTATTCTAGCAGGGATTTAATTATAGAAATAAGGTACTATATAACATGGTACCTATAAATGCTACTAAAGAGACGTGAACAACATGTCTTAGGAATAGAGCACAGAGCAACTATATCTGCGTGCCATTATTTCCCATGTTAGAAGGCATAAGGAAGGTATGGGGAGATTGACTTTCAGAGAGAACATGCAAGAAGCAACTGCATATGCAAAGGCATAGACTTGTGAGGTGTGTGAAGTTTTAGCATTTATGAGAAAAGCGGATGGATTTGTTTTGGAGAACAGCAGTTGTAGAAAAGTAGGCTTAGTTCTAATAGTGAATGGAACTAAAGTCCTGTTTGCTAGGCAAAGAAGTTTGGATTTTATTCTATGGTCAACAAGAAACTAATAGAGATTAATAAAGGAAGGTGACATGACCAATGGATTTTTGTTGTTGATGTTAGTATTACAGAACAAAATTCTAATAATAAGGAAGAGGATGGCTTAGACTAGTGCATTGAGAATTCCTAACAAGTTACAGTAATAATCCAGCTGAGATACAGTCCACAACAGCAATGGGGAAAAGAACTTGGATTCTAGATAATTGAGCAGGTATGGGGGTGAGATGAGGTACTGTAGATAGAATGAAGGAAGAATCAAGGCTGACAAAAGCTCATAGGATGATTAGACAAAACTTTAACTTTATTAAGAGATCAAGAATACAGTTGTCCCGTGGTATTCATGGAGGATTGGTTCTAGGACCCTCACAGATACCAAAATCTATAGATGCTCAATTCCCTTATATAAAATGGTGTAGTAATTGCATATAACCTATGCACATCTTCTCATGTACTTTAAATCACCTCTAGATTACTTATAATACCTAATATAATGTAAATGTTATATATATAGTTGTTATACTATATTGTTTTTAAAATTTGTATTATTTATTGTTAATACAATTAAAATATTGTTTCCCCAATATTTTTGATTTGCAATTGATTAAATCTGGGAATGCAGAACCTGTGGATACAGAAGGCAACTGTATAGGAAAATTAGTAAGTTTCAGGGAGGGAAGAGTAAATGCAAATAATGTTAAATTTTCAATGACTCCACTCAGACCTGTGGGAATCCCTAGCCTACAGACTGTAATTGAAATTGTAGAAAGGGATAAGATTATACAGAAAGTACGTAAGGAAGCAAGAATTAAAGAGGATGAGAGAAAAAACCCAGGGGAACCATTAAGTTGAGTTAGACACTAGTAAAGCTAGGTAGAAGAAGAGACAACAAAAGTGATGGAGAAGAAACAAGGCAGGTGATTCAAGAAGCAAGAGAAGAAAGTTTGAGAAATGTGACAAATACTTAGCAGAGGATACAAGTGGGATGAGGATGGGTAGCAGGTTCTTGAATTTAACAACTAGAAATCCAGTTTTAAAAAAATATTTTTTTGGCTGTGTGTGGTGGCTCACTCCTGTAATCCTAGCACTCTGGGAGGCCGAGGTGGGAGGATTGCTCGAGGTCAGGAGTTCGAGACCAGCCTGAGTAAGAGCAAGACCCTGTCTCTACTAAAAATAGAAAGAAATTAGCTGGACAACTAAAAATATATAGAAAAGATCAGCCGGGCATGGTGGCGCATGCCTGTAGTCCCAGCTACTCGGGAGGCTGAGGCAGGAGGATCGCTTGAGCCCAGGAGTTTGAGGTTGCTGTGAGCTAGGGTGAATTCACGGCACTCTAGTCCGGGCAACAGAGTGAGACTCTGTCTCCAAAAAACAAAACAAAACAAAACAAAAACAACAACAAAAAAATAAAAAAATATTTTTAAAATTTATTTAGCTTTTAGGCGATACTTGCACTTTCTACAACTTAATGGGATCCTTGAAAACAATACTCCTCAAATATCCAAATAATATACTTGTTTGATTATAGAAATTAATTCAAGTATAAACAGGATATTGTAATTTGCTATAGTTACACCTTAATAAATGAAGCCTATCTTCACATCAGCTGAAATTAGATGGTATCAGCTGAATTAAGTGGTAAACCTTCGAAAATTATACACACTGTAACACTAAAAAAAAAGTTTGCATTTACATCTTTGAAATTTTGGTTAATCAATAAGTATTCATTAAACAAGGATAGGATATTCTAATTTCCAATGTTGACTAGTTATTGATCTTCCAGTACAAGTACATATTTTATTCGAAGACAGCTTCAGATGGTTTAAAGTATAGCAAAAAATGTTTTTATATTTTTTCTACAGATTTTAAGAAAGTATTTATACATATGGAAACACTGAAAAAAACTTACAGTATACACCCATATACCCAATATCTGGATTTTAAACATTGTACTATATGTGTTTATCACACATCTACCTAGTCCTGTATTCACCCATGAAACTATCTTATTTTTCACGCATTTCAAAGAAAGTTGCAGACATCTGCTCATTTTACCCCTCAATAGTTCAATACGCAAATCACCAATTATAGGTCAGTATTTATAATCAGTTCTTTTTTAAAAAATAAAGTTTACGTATGGTGAAAGGTACAAATCTTAAGTCTACTGTTCAATGAGTTTTGAAATGCATAGAAGTTTTCCAATGTACACACATGTGGAAGACAAACCTTATCAAGATATACAGTTCTTACAACCTGGAAAGTTCCCTTATGACTCTTTTCCCAGTTAAATCCTGGTGATAACCACTCTTAGAGACAATCACTGATCTGATTTTTTTCACCATAGATTACTTCAGCCTCTTCTAGAAATTTATATAAATTTAATATAGCAGAAACTTTTTTGGGAAAGGCTCCTTACACTAAGTATGTTTTTCAAATTCATCCATGTTGTTTACTCAATTGTTTGTTTCTTTTTTTTAAGTAGTATTCTACTGTATGAATGTATGAATGGTTTGTTTAACCATTTTCTTGTAAGACAAACACCTGGGCTGCTGCTGGTTTTTTTCTATTATGAATAAAGCTCCTATGAACATCTTAGTAGAAATCTTTTTATGTGCATATGCTTTCTTTTGTCTTGGGTAAATAATTAGGAATGGAATTCCTAGATCACTGATAAGGCTATTTGATTATTTTATAAGAAACTGCCAGTTGCTTCACATTTGCACTAACATTTGGTATAGCCAGTCTTTCTAATTTTAGCCATGCTTGTGGGTGTGTTGTGGTATCTCCTTAGGCATTTTTTTTTTTTTTTTGAGACAGGATCTCACTCTGTTGTCTGGGTAGAATACAGTGGCATCGCCATAGCTCACTGCAACCTCAAACTCCTGGGCACAAGTGATCCTCTTGCCTTGGCCTCTCCAGTAGCTAGAACT